CATGGGGAGAGGAGGGGGGAGTACATTTATATAGAGGAAGGAAAACGAAAAGATGATGCATTTGATAGAGTAAAACAGTTAAAAAAGAAAAGGGGGGGGGAGTCAGGGTGCAAGTGGAGAGGGTGTGCAGGAAGTGTTCAGAGGGCATCTGTGCCTGAATGCCAGTCTCGGCTGCGGAGAAAATAAAAAATAAAAAAATAAAAAAGGGGGGAGCCAGGGTGCAAGCGGAGAGGGTGTCCAGGGAGTGTTCAGAGGGCATCTGTGACTGAGTGCCAGCCTGGGCTGCGGAGAGACTTGTAGGCACCTTCCTTGAATGCCTGCATTCACTTCTGTGTGGGAAGGTTGCGTAGCAGGGTAGATGGGAGACAATTCCAGTCTTGGATCGATGTATGTGTGCACTGAAAATTCAGCAATCTAAAAGTGGGTGAGCTGCTTGAATATCTTTGAAATAGTGCAGTAAGCAGCTAGAAGAACACAGACTAGGTGTACAGTGCGGAGACATGATGGACATATTCGCAGCTGCATCCTGCGGGGAGTCGTTCCGCAGTCTTATCTTCTATTTCTTCCTTCCTCCACAGCTGAAGGTCCGACATCGCTGCCGTCCCTAGCCCCAAACTCAGAATTTATCTCAGATGACGACTCCTCATCTTCTGACTCATTGGCCACCTTGAGCCGCATCGGAGCACTGGATGACCGACGTTGGAAGAAAAGAACGTCTCATTCTCTCTCTGAACTTCAGTCCTACTTCAGGATCCACTCCCCACCAGGCTCGAGATAGTTGTAGCCAGTGGCTGACACAGCCATCATGACAAGATCAAGAAACACTTGAATCGCCACTCGACACACCACTTCAACTTCAAAAAATAACTTCAAGCAATTGCGCAAGGAGTTCAAGAAGTGAAGAACTCGTCGCGCTGTTTGCAGCGTGATTAAAAAACACCGTTGAACGTCACAAATGGACCTTTTTCTCGAAAAAATTACGAAATGAGCCGTCAGATGCAAAAAGGTACCTTATGACGTTTTGCTCGCAGTTGAGAAAATCGCGTTCGAAAAAGTATTTTCTGTGAATATGTGATCGATAGTCCGGATAGTTTTCAGGGTAACTCGGTGATGAATTGAGATTTTTGGACCTGGTTTTTTGCACGACACTCTCCTGGCCAGGTTGTATCTGAAACAATCGTTAACTCGATTTGGCCAAAAATGTCATAAGGTACCTTTTTGCATCTGACGGCTCAAATTATTATTATGTGCAATGCATCATGAAAAATGGGCTGGTCACACCCCGCAATATCATCACCCTCATCTAGCACCTAGGCACTCTGTACAATGCATCATGAAAAATGGACTTGTCACATCCGGGACCCGACATAATGATAATTTTCACACTCCATAGTGACGGAGTTTACATCTTCTGAGTATATAACCAGTGTATCATACTTTGTTTGATCATCCATCTGATGATCCGTTGCTTGAACGGGGAAACACTGTGTAATGGAATTTGATCTCTGACGGTTTTTCCGCTTGCTCGTGATGAGTTTGAGACCATTCCCTTGTGAGAAATTAGTATTATAATTAGGAAAAGGGCCGTTTTCGCTGATTGCGGCTCATATCATCAAGAGTACATAACCGCCCAGAGTGTGCAACGCCGATCCAGCTCTGGATAGGGTCTTGGTCGAGCGGAATCGGATCTTCTGATGTCATGCGTACACTCCACACCAGCGCAAGGCCGGTCTCGAGGCAGGGCACCATTGTTTTTGATCCGTGAGTACCCGCGACTCCCCGGGTTCCCCTCAGATGTGTACGGTATTATGACGCCAAGATCCGACTACGCTCGACCAAGACCCTATGCAGAGCTGGAGCAGGCGCTGCCCACCTTGTGGGGGGGGGTTATGTACTCTTGATATCATATGTGCGTGTGCGTCTGTGCGTCTGTGTGTATGTGTGCATAAGTGTGTGCTTACGGGTGTGCATGTGTGCTAGTGTGTTCATGCGCGTGAGTATGCATGTGTTTGCATGTGTGCGTGCATGCATGTGTGTTTGTGCGTGCACTTGCACAGGTATGCATTCGTGTGTGTGTATGTGTGTGTGTGTGTGTGTGCGTGTGTGCACGTGTGAGCGCAAGTATGCATGTGTGTGTGTGTGTGTGTGTGTGTGTGTGTGTGTGTGTGTGCGTGCACGCGCCCGGGCACATATCAGGGCCTGCTGGAGAGCCGGGTCAGCCGGGTCACGCGCCCGGCTGGGGAACTGCACGCCCTGGCTGAACAGATAACACCTGGTCCAGTCTGACCCGGCTGAAAAATGTCTCAAACTGACAAAATGGATTCCTAAAATACCGGTATTTTACGACTCGCGGACCTCATCTGTTGGAAATCTAGCGCAACCGTACACACTACAGTCTACAAAAAGTACAAGCGACAGAAACTCGGCTAGAGTCAACTGGGGTCAACTGGTTCGAGCACGATCTGGCCAGCGGGGAGAAGGAAGTCAGGACATTCAAAGTCGATGGGGCAGGCAGTCAAAAGCGTAAATAAGTTACTTTGGCTATAGCTTTTGACACAGTTGCAAGTTTTCAGCCGACTGGTGATTTGGACGATGGAGACCGCAGCGGAGAGAAAAAGAAATCACGCTTTCCAAGACTCTTGGAAGAAAGGTCGACCTTGGCTGAAGCTTGTAAAGACGGCGATGTGGAACTCGCTGTCGACGAGGAATCTGGAGATGATCATGGCAATCAAGCTCGACGTTCCTGCCGTCGCCGACTTCAGCTACGACAAGGCTATGGCTGCATGGCATTCTGAGGTGACTCGGCGCACTACGACTGCAACGTCAACCTCGCCTGAACGGAGGAACCTGACCCGGACACCCAGAGCAGCAGCGGCAGCAGCAACAGCGGCACCAGCAACAGCAGCGCCAGCAGCAGGAGCAGCAGCAGCAACAGCAGCAGCAGTAGCAGCAGCAGTAGTTGCAACTCCACCAGTTCTCCAGTCTGCTGAAGCCTTTCAGCAGATGGTGCAGCAGATGCCAGTCGGCTTGGCCATGCAGGTGATGCAGTGGCAGCAAGCAGCCACACCACAAGGTGATGCAGGCACCCCCAGTGCTCTATTATGTGAACATGTTCGTCCTGCTACTGGCACTAACAGAATTCCTTTTTTCAAATTGTTTTAAAATCAGAATCCAATGGAACTGCTTTGCATTCTTCACATAATGTCGTATACCGGTACCTTCTACGTTTGCGGACTTTGATAGTTCGCCTTGTTCTCTAAAATTTCCGATTTCCGCTAATAAATTCGCCTTTCTGTTTTCCTGCGTTTTGAGCAGGCTTTTTTGTCGTTTTTCTGCCAGATGATCTGACCCGGCTGGCCTGCATGCGCCAGGTACACTCTGACCGGGCTGTGTTGAATGTCTAGAGCAGGCCCTGCATATGTGCGTGTGTATGCATGTTTCCCGCCATGTTTTTACTCATGTAATAGTAAAACTAATAACGTGACTCCCCGATGGCTTATACCACCTCTAGTCACTTCCCTTACTTTCCTTTACAACACATAAATATAAGCCAATGTTTACCGTATGAAAAGAGATTGATTTGCCTGGTGGTCCCCTGAGCATCAAACTTGAGTTGCAATAACACCTCGCTCTCCTTTACTAGCATCTATTAATATTATGCAAGAAAGGGAAGAGGTTGCTATGATGTCATCATCTTGGGTAGATGAACAATACTGAGAATACCTATGTCAAGTGTCTCGTCATTATAAGTATCTATTATTGCACGATTAAAGAGGTCAATATATGAAATATAGAACGAGTAAAAGACCGAGGTCCCCCGAGGTCTTTTACGAGGTCTATATTTCATATATTGACCGATTATGAGGGCACTAATAGATTTATCACGACATAGCATACCTAAAACTGGTTTTGCTTTACTATAGGAAGAAAGGAATACTATTGTAAGGCCACACGTTTTTATTTCTATGTTTCTCGTCACCTGAAAATCTAAAAACGTATGCGAGAGGTTGAAAAAAATAAAAAATGACCGAAGAATAAAAAAAGTTTATTAGACCTTTGTTCACACTAAAATCCACCAATACACAATGAAAAATAGCATCCATAGTTAGCAACTAGTATGTGATAGGAGCTTCTGTCACAATCTGTGCATGTGCAGCTAGATTGCGCACAACAAATGCCGACCCCGCATCATGTGTCGCACAGGCCAGGCCACAATATGTACATGTGCATGAGTGTGCTGGTCCCCACATGCACAGTCAGTGCAGCAGAGTTTGTTTTCTTTTTTTCTTCCAGACTCCGGAATCGTATGCGCGCGGGTGACGAGAAACATAGAAATAAAAACGTGTGGCCTAATAGTATAATAGTATGTACATATGCCGTTTGCATTGGACATTACTTCTGTGTAAACCGAAGTTTTCAGTTGTCTCTTGTAGTATGTTCCCCAAGTTCTTTGACTGAGAATCTGACAGTCTGGGTTCAAATCCCAGCATTTGGCTTCAGATTTTTCTTCTTTCAGTTCTAATTTTTGTTGAAGTTGAGGAAAAAGTTCTAAGTCCTCGGGCTAAGTGGTTAATAATAAGTGGTCAATATAAGCGGTCAATATATGCTGATATTTGACCGCTTAGAGATCACAAGTTTCTGTGGGGGTCAATAATAAGAGAGTGATAACTAATAATACACACAGTCGTTGTATACATACCTACAACATTGAGTTGATATGT